GTGCGTCCCGTGGCCATGTTGTGGCGGAGGACTGGGAGGCAAACCTTGCACGCCACCCTGTAGGGGCAGTTCTCTCCTAGGCCCAGAGGAGGCGAGATCACCCGAACTAATTTGTACATATCCTTATACGAGATCCTGCCGCTGCAAAGGAAGCACAGGTGGGTTAATAGGACACTGAGAGGGTGGAGGGGAGGATGGAGAGAGCTTAACCAGAGGGGGGTGGGGGCATCTGTGGGGTAAGAGCCCCACGGGTGCATGGCTTCTCTTCTCCTGGCTCCATCAGACCCAGAGAGGGGAAAGTTCTGAGCATCACCTACTGCCTTCTCCACCACGAGTCAGCTCATACCTCCTCTCACTGACCCACTTTGACCCTGGAGAAGGACAGTTTTGGTGGTGAACACCACTCCACCACCTTTCCTCATGGCCACCTACATCTGGTGGGGAGAGGGCTGGGATTTTAGACGGGGTGAGCCTGCAGCTTGGTTGGGTTCCAGCCACCAACAACCCTTTGGATGGAGTTGCGTCCCATCATGCCACCAGAGAGCCTGCCCTCACATGGCCAACTCTCTGGTCCTCACAAAGGTCCCAGGGAGGTTGGCAGCTGAGTCACTTGTATCTCCAGTATCTGGGGAACCTGAGACAGGGAGAGAGAATGTGACCAGCTGGTAACCGGTGGCCGTGGCACTAGCACCTAGGTCTCTCACGGTCCAGTCCTGTGCTCCGACCACCAGACCATGCTCTGCCAAGGGTACACATTATTAGAAGCAAACCCTCCCATACACAGAGGCCTCCTTGCCCGCAGAAGCACATCTCCCCAGACCCAGGTGCAGTCGTGGCAGGATACGGCCCATATCCTGCACTGGCTGAAATACTGAAGCAGTCGAGGGGGAGAGCTGGCAGGAGAGGGTGCAGGGGCCATCAGATGCTGAGCTCCCCACTCTGCTCCAGACCAGAGCCCTTTGGGAAGCAGGACCGTGTGGGGTGGAAGTGCTGAGGTGCAGCGTGCTGCAGCCTCCTGGGCATCCTCGGACAAGCTGGGAGGGAAACCACATGAGGAGGCAAAGTACAGCTTTACTGTCCTACCCGTTGCCTTTGCCTCTGGTTTCTCCTTGCTCTTCTCCCATCCCCTCTCCATTGCTGGCCAGAGCTAACCCAACCACCTGGTCAAAACCCATTTCCGAACCAATCTGGTGCCGAGTGGTCTCCCTCACGAGACCTTTGTGTGATGGTCCTGGTGACAGAATGCAGAACTGCTGCTCCACCCAGGTGGTGGGACCCGTTCGGATGTACTCACCCGTTCCTCACCACTGGCTCCTGTGTACGTCCCCTAACCACTGGCTACAAAAGAGCATGGCTTGCTCAGAAATTAGAGGCATGCGTGGCATTGATAGGACAGCTCAGGCATGCTTTTACAGGGACTATCCTGGAGACCCAGGCCACCAGCACGGGGAGGCGAGAGTGAATGAAGTGCCTGGTGTGAAGAAATCCTTCCCAAAGCCATGACTGAGACACGCCACAACAAGCAGCTGGGCATTTTCACTGCTCTCACACCTCCATTCTCTAGTTGTCCATCAGATATCTACTCACCCGTGATGACCTCTCCTCCTTGCACAAGGCACATTGACCTGCTAACAAGGAAACCCACTTGCCCACGAGGGCCTTGCACAGCAGCAAGAGTGCTGGAGGAGGTCATGCAAGGAGGAACTTGGCCAACATTGAGCTGCATAGGGTTGCACAGAGACAGTGGAGGAAACTATGCCAGGAGCTGATGATATTAGGCATCAAAATAAAAAAAATCTTGGTAAGGACTGGTCTCTCGAAAGGCACAACATTAGCAGTGGAGGCAAAGAATCTCCAAAGGGAGCATGTGTGGCTGCCAAGGGCTCTCAAGTTTAGATTGCCCATCCTCTCCAGAACAGCAGCGGTGGGTCATGGCTCCAGAGAGGCTGTCCCTGGGCAGCAGAGAGAGGAAGGGGCCACGCAAGATGTCCTCATAGTGCCAGGGCTGAGTGGAGGACAAACATGCTCCCCGAGCTGCCAAGGGATGCTCCAGGCCATCCTGGGAGGAGTGGTGGAGAGCAGCAAAGTCTTCCCATCTCTAGAGGGGTGAGCAGGCTGGCCAGCACCAGAACGTAATTCCCCAAACCCAAACAAGGTCCTCCACAGGTGACTTGGCAGGAGGCCAACAGACCCCCAGCACCTCCACACACTCAGCCCTGCTCTGAGGCAGGTGCTGGGGACGAGGCGATGGAGCTGAGTCTCAGGACAGAGGCACCCAGATGGTGCACGGGGACAGGGAAGGAGGCTGAGAGGGACCTGCTCACTGGCAGGCAAGGAGAGGAAGAGCAGGATATCCAGCACTCAGGATAAACACCACGGCAAACCATGAACATCATCCGAGACACCTGTGCCACCAGACATTGCAGGAACCATCTGCTGCCCTTATAAGAACCGCAGGCGAGAGCAGCCCTTCCCTGACCATCCCAGGCATCACAGCTGGTTTTCAAGAGCAGAACACAGAGATGCCCATTTGAAATTAGCTCTGAGAGGTTGCTCAAGAGAGAAGGAGCTGGCTACATACCACGCTGCTCTGTCATACTCTGCCCAGATGCGGACAAACTCATCCAGATGGTGAGGTCCCAGGATGGAGGAATCCCGAGTCAGGTATTCAAAATTGTCCATGATGACCGCCACAAACAGGTTGAGCATCTAAGTGAAAGGGAAAAAGGCAGAGAGAAAGGAAAGTGGGGGGAGAGGGAGCAGAGAAGGGGAGGGAGAGAGAGAAGGAAAGGTAATTGTAGGAAGAGGGAAGATGGCTGATGACCCTATGGCAGGGGTGCAGGTTGAGGGGCTGACGAGAGGGACCCCCCTGGATTCTCAGGGAGGAGAAACTCACCAGGAAAGAACAGAAGAAGATGAAGGAGACGAAGTAAACGTAGGCCAGGTCAGTGCCGCAGCGCTCGTTCTCGTTCTGCCCGGACGTCGCCGTTGTGTCCGGCTCACAGCCTTTGCCCTCCAGGCAGGACAGCATGATCTCCTGCCATGCCTCACCCGTGGCACTCCTGCGCCCAACACAGCCAGGGCTCAGCACCTCGTGATGGCACAGGATGGAGCCGGGACAGGATTCCCCCAGAAGAAACCTCACAAGAAGCTGTGCAACCCCCTGCCCAACATCTCCAGCATTCAGAGGAGCAAAGCACTGTGTCAGCAGTGACCAAGCTAGACCTACACGAGCGCAGCCATGCCAGGGTGTAGCTCCTGGCCCGTGGGGCCAACTTCCCCCCCAGCCAGCTGGTCCAAAAATTTGGGAGGCAAACATCTTTTGGGGAGCAGATGTGGGGGAAAAAAAGGGGGTTCCTGAGCTCCTGGGACTATGTGTTTGTCCAGCTGGTCTCTAGCAGCAAAAGCTGACCTCCACCAAACAGAACATGCCCAGCTCAGCTCCTGGCTTGCCTGCACCCAAAAATGCTGCCAAAGGGGTTTTCTATGGTTGCTTACCTGAAGAGAAGCATGAGGGAGCCCAGGAAGCTGCGGAAGTTGTTGTGCCGGTTAATGTGGCTTTCCTCATCTAGTTTGATATTGCCAAAAACCTACAGGAGGGAGAAGAAGGGCTCAGCTCTTCAGGCAAGAGCTTGTCGACCAGGGAAGCTGCCATGGAAACAGGAGCACAGAGGATCTGGGATCAACCAAGTCCAACCGCTCCACATCCATCCGTCTGCTGTGCTCCAGGCAGCATCTGAGCATCCAGCACCCGCCCTGGAGGTGCAGCGATGAGTCCCACCACCCCCGGTGGGTGCTGGGTTCTGGCCCTGGAAACTTGTCAGAGCTTTTGCCTTGGTGGGGAAAGGGTCCATGATGATGGGATTGGGCACAGCAGTGCAAACGGGGTAGGAAAAGGCTCAATCAAGGAGGCACAGACCAAGTGCTGACCCACCACGGACAGCCAGACACCTGGGACGACCATTCCCAGGGCTGAAAGAAGCAACGGAGCCCCAGACATGGACAATATCCTAATAGTGACCCACAGCCAAGGCCATGGTAGGACATAGCAAATGTTCATGAGGTGCCTCAAATAGGAAAAATGTGTCGTTATTACTGTTAAATATTTATTCTACTTTCTGTGAACCTAAAAATACACTAAACTGCAGAGCATGTTTTTTTTCCCCCATACAGGTTTTTTGGAATGTGTAATTGTAGAATATTTTCTGCCTCCAGCTATTTTGCTCAAATAACGCCCCCAGACTTTACTGCTTGGGAATTTGTTCACAATAGTGTTTAAAAAAAAATAAAAAAAATCAAATACTACCACATGGCAGAGAGGGGGGGCGCTGAGTCAGATTGTGCTTGTTTAGCACAGAGAACACCTGGAGCAGGTGCAAAGATGTGTAGGATAGAGCGGCCCAAAACCAGCCATGGGACTCTTGAGGTGGGAGAGGGGGTGGAAGAGACTAAACAGCCAAGTAGCCTCAGTGGGGGGCCACCGCACTGCCCCCCACGACCAAAATCTGCCCATCCTGGCAGCGTATATGGGGCAACGGCGTTGGATACTCTGGCAGCTCGCACATCAGGCAGCTCCAGATCCCGAGCGCTCGTTGCCGAAGATGCTTTGTCAGATCTTCCAGCGTGGGATTTAGCACAGAACTGAGCCAGCCCCGCAGCACGTGTGGAGCTGAGCATTTTAGCTCGTATGCTTCTTATTTACCAGCTGGAGCCTGTTTTCCCATGCTCTGCAGACCTCCCACTATCTGGTAGGTACCTCAGCGCAAGAGCCCAAGCAGACCATCAGGCCATCTCTTTGCAGAAGGTCAAGGTGGACAGTAGGCTATTGGGGATCACCATCATGATCCAGCCTTTTGGAAAGACAGAAGGCTGCTTGAAATCAGTCTCTGGGTGCTGCTAGGGAGTTGGAGATGGGGTGTCATTTCTAAAATTAAAGTGCCTATGAAACGAAAGAGCGGTGATTTGAAAGCAGCCACGGCACAGGATGCCCAACTGAGTTGTCAAGGCCACATCTCCAGGGGTACAAATCAGGAAGGCAAGCTGTGGAGTTTGAACAAGCCCATGTCAGGTCTCCCAGGACACATGGCTCTACAGCTCCCAAACAAGCTCTTCCACCCTCAGGACCTTCCCGGACACGGTGACTGAGTGAAACAATGACAGGCAGGCATAAGGCTGGCTGCTGTGCATAATGCTGAGGACACCTTGGTCCAGTCTGTCGTCACCAGAGGGATGCACGCTGAGATAGTTGAGCTCACCTGCATCCCAATGATCGCGTAGATGAAGAAAAGCATGGCGATCAGGAGGCAGACGTAGGGGAGGGCCTGCAAGAAAAGCAGATGAGTCACCTTATTTAGCACAGGTCCAGCTTCAGAGGGGCACAAAAAGCACAGCAAGCAGGGAAGCTGTGCCGATTCGTCTTCTCCTACAAGCCAACAAGACCTTGGGAACAGCTCGTGTTTGGGAGCGGCACCCCAGCAGTGCGATCTGGGAGGAGACCAGGGCACTCGTGACTTACCTTGAAGGACTGCACGAACGTCCAGAGCAGGATGCGAATGGTGTAACCCTGTCGCAGCAGCTTGATGAGCCGAGCAGCCCGGAAGAGCTTCAGGAAGCTCATGTTGAAGCTGCTGGTGTTCACCAGCTGGGAGGAGATGAGAGGGTCAGAGGGAGGCAGGAACCCCGCACGCCACCCTGCTGCCCCCAGCCCCTTGGTGCTTCACCTTGGTGTCGGTCAGGATGATCTCGGTAATGCTGCCGATGACAGTGATGAAGTCAAAGATGTTCCAGGTGTCCCGGAAATAATTCTGTAATAGGAAGGATAGGGGCATGTTGAGCTCCAGGATGGCAGGTCTGGAGAACGCTGGGCCACGGGCCAAGGCTGCTCACAGGCAATGGTGGCAGCAGCAGAGACCTCGCTGCCCATTTGTATGCAACCACGGTCTGGAGCACCGTCCTGTGTCTGAGACAGTGACAGACCTGGACGTGTCTGCAGCGAGTAGCTTCTCCTGGGAGATGACTCACGCACTGAACAAGCCTCCCTGGTGAACGGGAGTGGGAAAAGCGGCCACAGCCAGCCCTGGTCAGGCTCCAACAGCTCTTCACACTGACCCTCACAGCCACGAGACTCTTTGTGGGGACGCAGACCCACCTCAGCCCCTGCTCTTTTGTGCAGCAGCTGATGCAAGATCACAGCTGACTGGTGGGGTAGACCTCATCTCGCAGTATAAGTTTGAAACACAAGAGACTCTATTAAAAAACTAACAGTTGCTGATAAGCAGCAGGGAGTAGCTGGGAAAAAAAGCCAGTCTCTGGCTTCAAATCTTAAACGAGCAGCCAGAGACTTGAGGATCATGGATTAGGCAGCCCTGGTCGTTCAGCTGATACATCCCAAGCAATGCACCAGCATCTCATAGAATCATAGAATGGTTTGAGTTGGAAGGAACCTTAAAGATCATTTAGTTCCAACTCCCTGCCATGGGCAGGGACACCTCCCACTAGACCAGGTTGCTCAAAGCCTCATCCATCCTGGCCTTGAACATCTCCAGGGATGAAGCATCACCAGCTTCCCTGGGCAACCTGTGCCAGTGTCTCACCACCCCTGTAGTAAAGAACTTCCTAATGTATAACCTAAATCTACTCTGTATAATCTAAATCTACTCTGCTCTAGTTTAAATGAAGCATCACCAGCTTCCCTGGGCAACCTGTGCCAGTGTCTCACCACCCCTGTAGTAAAGAACTTCCTAATGTATAACCTAAATCTACTCTGTATAATCTAAATCTACTCTGCTCTAGTTTAAAACCATTGCCTCCTGTCCTGTTACCACCGGACCT